TGCTGAGGCTTCTCTGCTGCTCTCGGAGTCTCCTAATCAGCTACCATGTGAAATGCAAATTCAGACAGTCTGAAAATTAGTCAAGAAGAATAGGGGATGAGGATGCAGATATGTGAAATATTCATGCACTCGCGGAAGGGAGAAGACAGCGTGAACGACACAACAAAGGGCGGACGCTGACAGTCCCGCCATCATCCCCGCACTGCGCACGCCCTGCTGCCGCTCGGCCTGCCGCTCTGAAGTCGCTGTTCCGAAATGCCGTATTCCTATTCCATACCCAAAATAGTAATTAAAAATGGCTAACATAACAGCGTTAACGTCAAATAGAGGTAATGCTTCTGAATTATCGTCGCTGCCTGGGAAGAGTTTATCCTGGTTACCTGAAGGCAAACGCTAGGAAACCCAACGCCAGACAGCACTGGTTATCACTGAGTATCAGAACCGTGAGGGGAAAAGGCACCTATGACATTCTAGGACCCCGAACGCTTTGCATAGGGTAAGAATCCTTTAGACGTATTTATTTTTCAAGTCACGCTGACTCGATTTTCCTTATATGAAACCAAACCGAACGCTATTCATTGAGAGAGGGAGGGAGACAGAGACAGAGAGCAAGAGAGAGACGGAGGGAGAGAGAGAGAGACAGAGAGAGAGAGGGAGAGAGAGAGAGAGAGAGAGACAGAGAGAGACAGAGAGAGACAGAGAGAGACAGAGAGAGAGGGAGGGAGGGGGAGAGAGAGAGAGAGAGAGACAGACAGACAGACAGACAGACCACCGAGCAAGTGAGCGCTGTAATCGTTTTATATTTTCCCTCCGTCCCTTTCCGTTTTCCTTGGGAGGAAGGAAACCTCTGTGGCTCGTGGGGTGAGCTGTGCAAACCCCAGGCAGCGCTTCCTCTGGGCGCCTCTCCCAGAGCTTTCCAGACAGTTCCGTGAACACACTTGGCCCCCAGAGCCCCCGCTGTTCTGCACGTCGCCTCAAATACGGGTGAACTCATGATGCATTAGGCTGTTCTGTCCCGTGAAAATCGGGGTGCCGGGTGAGCCGACGGGGTGGCCAAGCGGGCGGGGATTCGGACTCAGACCCTGAAATGGTAACGTCTTCGAGAAGTTTCGGGGCCATCCCCAAACACCCGCACTGTCCCGGGGGAACGGACAAGTCCCGCTCAGACCTGCGGCTAAGACGCGCTCGTTCCGACCTCTGGAAAAAGGAGCGAAGTCCCGCCAAAAAAGTTCTCATTTTCTGTCGTCGCGAGCCCCGAGGTCGGCCGGACACGCCGCTCGACTAGAGCCCTTTGCCGCCAAGTCGGCGGCCGCTCTCGTCACCGCAGCAGTGGCCCGATGCAGGCCACGTGCGGGCACCGTCCCCTCCGCGTCACGACGGCGGCGTCGGCTCTCATGGCGGGGAGGGGAACGGCGCGAAGGGCCGCTCCCGCCACCTACACCCGTCGGCCGCGTTTCGGGATAAGGGACATGCAAATGTTAGCCAAAGGGACACGGCCGACGGCCGCACAGCCACTGACCTCCTCCGAGTAGTGGTCCGACGGGAGCGGCGGGTAGTCGCACTGCTCTATCTTCTTACACAGCGAGTACAGGTTCATTTTGTCGCCGTAGAAAGGACTCTGCAGGGCAGCCATCTGCAAAACGCTCCCAATGAAACTGATATAGTTACACGTGACTTCGAGGGGCCTCATCTGACACGGGGGACATAGCCACAAACGCTTCAAAGGCCTCTGGCCTTTTGACGGTTACCCATATCCCTTTCTGCGAATTGTTTAGCAAGTTCTACACACGTTACGTCAATGTTTGGTTATGTGTTCAAGATTTAAAATTCCCTGAAAGGGAGACATGCTTATAGCATATGTTTCTTTATATACGTGTGCCCCATAAAACGATATTAAGAAAAAGAATGTAAGGTAACTTAAAACTCTGCAAATATAATGCCACGCCATCATCCCATGACTAAACAGACAGCAACGGTATACATCCAACATGTCGTGGCCAAAACTAAAGTTAAAACTGACTTAAAATCTAGCAATGCTGTAGGGAGCAAATGCACAGTATTTTCTCTCGCATAATCCTTTCTGTAGGGGAAAAAAAAAAGTCTTCTCAATCTGACACTTATAACTGACCCTCAAGTAGTTTCTGGCAAATGAGAACTTTTTTTTTTTCTTTTGATAACGTCCCAAAAAATACTAACTACGTTCAAAAGCTCTACCGGTCATAGACGCTACTTCAAGACATCCAAATGAGATTTTTATGCAGAAAAAAAAGAAAAAAATGACTCGCAGAATGAGCAACTCTAAAAAAGACGTTATCGAATTTAAATTTCTTTTCAGACGAGGCTCTAACGTGACATTTAAAGTGCCAGCAAGCACTGTGGCGAGCAGGCTTACAAACTAAAAATTCGATTGAAAATGTTCGAATCCTGTTCAGAACCTTCTAAATCTCTGAACCGCAGCGGCAAGAACACAGCGCGGCCCGCGAGGCCGCCCCAGTCAGTCACCCTTTTCTACATGTGCTAATGAGTTTGATTTTGGAAGGACAATGTGTACATCCTCAGACAGGCGGAGTGTGTGTGAAACACGCCGGCCCGTGCTGTGCTACTCAGCGAGCGTCAGTGGGGACAGGACAAGCTGAAAATGGCCCTCATCTGTCTTCTGCGGCTCCAGACAGGGCTTAACTCCTTCGGAGCCTTCGCGAGGCGGGGACCTCGGGAAACGAAGGCGCGAGCGGCCGGGTGCGCGTTTCCCCTGCCACGTTTCGTGTTTTTAAAACCACCGTGGGAAAAGTTCTTCCACACGGAGGGAAAAGGGCAAAAACAGCCAAACGAACAAACAAACAAACAAACAAACCCACAATTTGAATGTCCCTAACCAGAGAAGACATTCATCTCATCTGGGGAGAAATTTCTAAAGAGGCACCACAATTATAATCACGTTTTTTTTGTTGTTGTTGTTCAAAACGCAAGGGCACGTCCCGATGAAACAGGACATTAAAATGCCACCTTAACGGGCATGTGTACGTGTGGACTGGTCTCCGCGGTGGCGGGAACCCCGGGCAGGGGGCCACAAATGCCCGGTCACAGGCGAGGAGTACGGTACAGGACTTCTGTCTCGATACTGCAGAGTGTTAAAAAAAAAATCTCAATGTCCCCTAAGGAGTTAAACAGGAATAGTATATTTTCATGCATCTCCTGCTTTGACAGATGAAAAATGTCAACTGTCCTGTTTTTATTTTCCAGCTTCTGCACTATTCATCTGGTTCATTAGTGCCTCTCGAGGGGCCCCTGACAGCTGCACGCCCGCTCCTCCCGGCAGCTGAATTTTTCAGGCTAATTTGACCCTGCACACCGAGGCGGGCGCTGGGATGATTGACTTGCTCCCTGACCTCGGGGGTCCGACTCTCCTGATTAGTATTCTGGGGGTGTCGGAGGGACGAGAGCCCACTGTCTGTCTTCGGGGCTGGTGGCAGCTCTCTCTTTTTTTTGAACTGTAAGCCACCAACCTACAACCCTGGAAGGATGCAATTGCTGAGCTGAACAATAAAAGAAATGTGTAAAACCTACTTTTCCATGTAAAGGTCCGTGTAGCAAATGCACAGCGTCTTGATTTTAATTAGTAAAGTCTACTTTGTTGCATATCAATTAAAACTGTGCTGCAGTGTGCGTGTGTGTGTGCGTGTGTGTGTGTGTGTGCGCGCGTGAGGTTTCGGGACTATTTGAAAGTCTAATTATCTGAGTTTCAAATACATTTTCAAAAAGGCTTCCTACTCTGTCATTATAAATTCTCAATGGGGCACACTCTAAAATATCTGTATAATCTTACGGCCGATTTTTAAAACATAAATTACTCTGGGTGTTTCTGGTAACGGTTATATTAAAACGTAACTGGAAGGACAGACAATGTAAAAGCAAATGACATCTTTGGAACGATTCTAGTTCTCCCAAATGACTTCATGCAGGAATTGAGAAAATGCACTGAAATAAAAACTAATGTCAACATGATAAATACCGGAATTCAGAATCATCCACACACATAAAGAACGTCCAAAGAAGTCATTTTCACTTTGGCGATCATTTTCGGTGCACATAAAAAGGGATACTGCCTCTCAAAGGCAAATTCAGAAAGTGAAGAATTGTTTCAGTTTTGACACGAGGGTCTGCTGGCCTTAAAAGGATTATGCAAACTTCCCCAAAACACTTGTTTCATCGCTAAATTTCACCTCATTAGTGGGAACCTTCCTTTCAGCTGTTTAAAAGGAAAATCTTGCTTCGACCATACTGGAGTATGGCCTGAAGGAATCCAATCTATCTAAACAGGTATAAAATATTTTAAAATGTGCAAAGTGACGTTTAAACACTACAGTAACATAATATATTCAAATCAGTTCTTTTTAACATTGTACCAAACTACTAACAAATATAGTGAGCATAAATCTCTCTTTACCTCATGTGCGTACATAAAAAATATTTTGTTAGATCACTAATTCATAATTTTTCATAATAAAAATTATCTTAGGGATGTAATTTAAGAATATTTAAGATTTTTTTTTTTAAGTAGTAAGTAGTCACTTTAGTAAGGAGAACAAAATAAATAATCTCTTAAATTTTGGAAATTTGAATCTGCATGCAGAAAAATTACAACTAAAGATCGTGACACACACTGAAAAAAACTTCTTTTGCTCCACTTTCAAGCAGTGGTGGGACAATTAAAACAGATGACCTCATTACATATTTGTCCAAGTTAAGAGGCCAAGAGACAAAAAATACAGAGTAAGAAATACAAGGGTGGCTATCTACCCACTTAGCATTCCTTTGTGTGCATTAAAATAGGAAGATGATTCCACGTATTATTTTCCTTCTTTTTATTTTATTAAAAGAGTTACTCAGATGTGGACTAATTTTAAATTCACAGCTTTGACTCAATGCCTACATTCCTAGGAAGATTACCATTCAATTAGAAAATGACAGAAGACACTCGCTTGAGATATACTCTTTGACGCCATGAGTTTATAACCGGGATAGAAATGGGCTGATAATGTGCTTTCCTCTCTCCATCCAAATGATCGCTTTGAGACGTTCACCAGCGCATCTACCTACGTGAGATCCCCCCTTCCTTTGATAAATTATCAGCAGAACAGGAGAGAGAGTATTTGTCTGAGCTTGGCCAATACGAACTGTTAGTATGGAAATGAAATTAAGTGATAACCTAATGATCTTTCTGTGTACCATCCTTAAAGTTCAATTACTCTACGTAAAAGTGGAAAAAATGGTAATAAAGATATTTACTATGCTTTCATGTTTTAAATCCATTCTGTTAATCCTCTCCTACAATGCAGAGATAAAGCGAGCGTTTTCACAGGTGTCCTAACGTATATTTTTATAAATAAGGTATGCTGAGAAACATCATGTAACATAAAAACATTTAAAAATAAAACTGTCATCAAAAGGAGACATTTAAGATATATGTCAGAAGTCAGTGTGTAGAATGTATAGGTACTAAATTCCATTATGAGAGCAGTTACTAATCCAATGAATTCGTCTTCATAATTAAAGCGCTAATTCTTAAACATCATCTAGGAAAAACTAAGCACATGCTATAGGGATGGAGAAATGCATGCCAGTAAATGAAACTACATCAGTTTATGGGCTTATTACCATCACCCACCTCGTACAGCAGACAGCCAAGAGACCAGATGTCAGATTTGAAGTTGTACCCATTTTCATGTATTCTCTCTGGAGACATGTAATAAGGCGTACCCACTGCAAAAAAAAAAAACAAAAAGTCAAACCAGAGGAGTATAAAAATGAAGATGCAGCTGTGGTGAGGAATGACATGCAAAATTCTGGATTGAAAACATCGCCAAAATGATTCATTGTGACCAGAGAATTGTTTGGAGAATGTTCAGAACGTCTGCACCCCCTCTTCCTCCCTGACCCGTCCGCAGCACAGCAACATCGCCCCTAGACTCCACGGGGGAGGTGGGCTAAGCTTCGATTTACCGCCTTTGATCAATCCGGGGAGGACCCGGAAGCACAATAATGTAATAATGTATTTAAATATGAATAGTAATATATAACGATTTAGTAGACTATGTATAAATAAGTCATAATCATTAACTCTTACAAGACCATCCCTTAGAACACAGTGGTGGCTCTTAAAACCACAAATTATATAATCGTTAACCTTCACTACCTCGCTCCTATTTTAGGACGAACGTAACAGACTTTTGTATAAAATAACACGGGTAAAAGGTCGCCAACATCTCTGAAAAAATGTCTGCGTTATTACTACCACTGATATCTTTTCAGAGACAGGATACTCTAGATCATTTTTGGTTTATGTCTGTCTGATGTGCTAATACTCTTCTCTTTCTTATGACCATTTTAGAAAATGCTAACATAATAAATGCCAATAGATATTTGTTAAACATTGAAAACTAAACAAAGGTACATATATACATTCTATTTTGAACAATAAAAACATTTGTGACTTTCAAAGTGAATATATTAAATTTCAAACGTAGACGGCTATTTCACCATCTAAGGCTTTTTTGCCAAATAGAAAATCAAAGTTCGAGAACGATATTTAGGAATTTGAGTTACTCGAAGCAAAGGCTACAAAAAATATCCTGCTGCTCATGGAGAAAAGAACATGCTCCTTTTTCTGTTAATTTTCAAGAACAGCCTGGGGATTTATTGTAAACTTTAATGAGGCGTAGCTCACGCTATTCGATGGGGGTGGGGGTGCTTAGGGAGGGGCGCCAAGAAGAGTCCCACCAACTACAGCAACGTCTTCAGAGGCAGGAGTCAGTTTTCCAAAAAATAGGTGTAACCAAACAGTCATGTGCAGAAACTCTGTGTGCTAAAGGTGAAAACATCCTGAGCCGCAGAGACACAAGAGTCCCGTGTGCGTGGGAACCCACGTCCCCTAGTGCTGGGCAGTCCCCGTCAGAAGGGACGGAAGCGAAGTGTTTAAAAAGGGGACAAGAAAAGCGAAAAGAGCATGAGAACGGGAGGGCAAAACAGGTTTAAAAAAATATAAACTCTTCGATATGAAATAAATGAGACAGACCTTAAGAAATAAATTACTGAACGGCCGCATTTCCTTTGGAGACAAACAAGTAACTCTGCCAGTTTCCGCCGGGGTCACGAGAGCCAAGACCCCCTTGGCGGCGGCGGGTCTGGAGCACGCGCGCTGTCGCCTGCGTTCGCAGGGGCGACGCCGACGACCGGAC